GCCTGAACTCTGGCATAATTCCATTTCCAGCTTTTCTGAAGATAAGAATATCATGGCCGGGCACCGGTGGCTTACACCCATAATCCTAGCTACTCAGGAGGCTGAGATCTGAGGATTGAGGTTCAAAGCCAGCCCAGGCAGGAAAGCCCATGAAACTCTTAGCTCCAATAAACCACCAGGAAACCGGAAGTGGTGCTGTAGTTCAAGTGGTAGAGCGCTAGCCTTGAGTTGAAGAGCTGAGGGACAATGCTCAGGCCCAGAGCTCAAGCCCCACGACCAACCAAAAAAAAAAAAAAAAAAATATATATATATATATATATATATATATATTTCCTGCCTGAGCTGGCACTGAACTGCAATCCTCAGATCTCAGTCTCTTGAGTAGCTAGGATTACAGATGTGAGCCACTGGTACCCAGCGTATTTGTTTGTTTGTTTGTTTTCTTTTCTTTTTTGCCCGTCCTGGGGCTTGAACTCAGGCTTAGGTGCTGTCCTGAGCCTCTTTGTGCTCAAGGATAGTGCTCTACCACTTGACCCACAGTGCCACTTCTGCTTTTTCTGAGTAGTTTATTAGAGATAAGAGTCTTACAGACTTTTCTGCCCCAGCTGGCTTTGAACCATACCCCTCAGATCTCAGCCTCCTGAGTAGCTAGGATCACAGGCGTGAGCCACCAGCACCTGGCTGTTTATTTGTATTAAGTAGTTGTACAAAGGGAATTCAATTCCAGAAGTCAAGTTATGAGTTCAATGCATCTTGATCAATATCACCCCTTCTGGGGCTGGGAAGGTGGCTCAGTGGTAGAGCGCTTGCCTTGCATGCCTGAGGCCCTGGGTTCGATTCCTCAGCACCACATAAGCAAAAAGAAAAAAAGCCAGAAGTGAGGCGCTGTGGCTCAAGCGGTAGAGCGCTAGCCCTGGGCTGAAGAGCTGAGGGACAGCGCCCAGGCCCAGAGTTCAGGCCCCACGACCGGACCCAAAAAAAAAAAAATCAAATTCTTAGGGCTGGGAAGGTGGCTCAGTGGTGGAGTGCTTGCCTTGCATGCCTGAGGGCTTGGGTTCAATTCCTCAGCACCACATAAGTAGAAAAAGCCGGAAGTGGCGCTGTGGCTCAAGTGGTAGAGCGCTAGCCTTGAGCTGAAGAGCTGAGGGACAGCGTCCAGGCCCAGTGTTCAGGCCCCATGACTGGACTCAAAAAAAAAAAAGAAAAAAAATCACCCCTTCCATCCTTCTCCTCTATCTTTCCCCCTTCCATTGCTATTCTCAAAACCTTTTTTTCTTTTTCTTTTTCTTTTTTTTTTGGGTCCGGTCGTGGGGCCTGAACTCTGGGCTTGGGCGCTGTCCCTCAGCTCTTCAGCTCAAGGCTTGCTCTCTACCACTTGAGCCACAGTGCCTCTTCCGGCTTTTTTTTTCTTTGCTTATGTGGTGCTGAGGAATTGAACCCAGGGCTTCATGCATGCAAGGCAAGCACTCTACCACTGAGCCACCTTCCCAGCCCAAAACCTTTTTTTCTTTTAAGGGAAAAAGAGTAATAGAAAAAAAAATGTTAAAATTTATTTTGCTAGTAAGTATCTTGGTCTGTTTCTTTTGGCTCCCTAGTTTATGCTAATTAAAATGATTTCAACAAAGGATCTTAAGAGTGCAGCTTCCTTTTTCTTTTTTAACTGCCTAGGTTGGCTCTCATGTTCATTGCTTAAATAATTAATAATCATTGCTATCTGTTCCACATCGTGTGGGAGAAGAGTGAGTAATCTCAGATCCCCGGACATTTACACCATGCCCATCTCCTTTGCATAAGCTTTCATGTGAGGCCTTCATTAGCTAGCACCAGGGTGTAGATTTGCCCTCCTCAGCCTTCAGTGTTTATTAACTATGAAAAAGAGCCCCCTCTGGTTCATCAGCTGGTGGCAAATGCTGCTGTTGGAAAGTAATTTCCTGGAAGAATAGTAATGAAGAAATGAGGTAGAGAGTGTGGAGAAGCAAAACCACAAAGTTCACTTACAATGAGCAATCTCTGCTGGATACAATGCAAAATCTCTTAGGCGGAGGCCTTACAAATAGCAGAGGATGTCAGGAAAACCCTAACAGAACATAGAAATGTAAAGTGGGGGCTGTAGTCTTGAAAACTACTGCTATCTTATAGCAAACATACAGATATTTACTAGCAACAGGCTTTGTGGCCCTTTGTGCAACAGTGAACAGCTGAGCAGTCAGTGTGCACTTAGCTAGGGTCTGAAAGAAACTGCTGGTCAACAAAGGGCTTCTCATTCTCATCTGAATGTACTGATAGTGTGTAAGCGTGGTAGCATCTGCAGGTATGAGAGGCAGTGATATATGCTGGGAGTCACGGCTGTTTTCACCCTCACCCCCAAAGGACATAGGCTATTTGCTTTTAGGGATGGTCCTTATTTTTTTTTTTTACACTTTAATAATTTGATAATAACCAGTAGGATAAAAGGTGAACAGACTACTGTGTCTAAAGGTTAGGTGTAAGGCTAGGTATTTGTATGCAAAATCTAAGGTCTACTGGGCAGTTAGAATGCCTGAACCTGCACTGACAATACACTTTGACATAGCCTGTGGGCCTATCAAAATACTCAGCCACAGAGAGGTATCATTATTTCTTTATGCTGTTTGCAAGCCCTTATAGTGGGGTTGTGTGATGTTGGGCAGATCTACTCATCAGATGCTGTGGAGACCAACACTCCGGGGGCAGGCTGGCAGCCAGCCAGATGTTCACAGCTGCACATACCCCACTCATGACACCAAGTATGTATATTCACTGATCTACAAAATGCTTTCATCGTTGTGTTTAATAATTCCTTATTATCTCCAAAGGAAAAGTAGATGAGAAGTATTGACAAGGCACAATTTGATGCCGTGTGCCTGCAGCACTGTGTGCTATGTATCTGACCTCCAAACCACTGTCCTCGGGAAAGTTAGAGCCATACCAAATATGAACCAGAGACAAAGAGATTGAGGCAAGAGATCATTGTTTTGCTTTCAGTGTTTCTAATATTGGAAATTAGTCATGTTAAAAATTGTGTTTTTGTTGGTTGTGGTAGTGCACACACGTAATCCTAGCACTTGGGAGGCAGAGAGGATCAAGAGGATCATGATTCAAGACCAGTCTGGACAATGTACCCTGCTCAACTCCCAACCCTACTTCCCCCCCCCCCCCCCTCTTTTCTTCCCCTGGTCATGGCTTGAACTCTGGGCCTTGGTGCTGTCCCTAAGCTCTCCAGCTTAAGGTGAGTGCTCTACCACTTGAGCCACAGCACCCCTTCTGGTTTTCTAGTGGTTTATTGGAGATAAGAATCTCACAGACTTTCCTGCCCTGTCTGGCTTTGAACTGCAATCCTCAGATCTCAGCCCCTTGAGTAGCTAGGATTACAGGTGTGAGCCACCAGCACCCAGCTTCTAAAGACTCTGTGTGTGTGTGTGTGTGTGTGTGTGTGTGTGCAAGCACACGTGCATGTTTTGTTGGTTGTGGGGCTTGAACTCTGGGCCTGGGTGCTGTCCCTCAGCTCTTCAGCACTACCACTTGAGCCACAGTCCTACTTCCAGCTTTTTCTGTTTATGTAGTGCTGAGGAATCGAACCCAGGGTCTTATGCACACGAGGCAAGCACTCTACCACTGAACCACCTTCCCAGCCCTGTTTGTGTGTTTTTTTTAAGTAAGTTTAGATGGCCTAGTGGGTCACTCCTGAAATCCTAACTACTAGGGAGGCTCTGATCTGGAGAATCCCAGTTCCAGGCCACCCTGGACAGAAAAGTTCTTATTGATTCTATCTCCCAAATAACCAACAAAATATCCAGCTAGAGGTATGGATGGGGGAAAAAAAAAGTTTATTGTATTCATGCAAGTGGGAGGGCAAGAAATGATGGGGTGAGTGAAAGCAGATGGGACCGAGCTAAAAAGAAAGTTTGTTGAAACAGGTCCGGAGGGCTTCTCAACTGGGGTTTTCACTACATAGCTGGTAAGCGAAATATTGACAAGACCACACTTAAAGCTACATGTCCTTTGAAAAGAAGGCAAGTATTAAAAAGCATTTCTTTGCATTTTGCCTAAAATGGGCTGTTTCTCCCTGTAATCTGCAGACAGTGTCAGACTTCCCTAGATTTCCTCTAATTATAGACCCCTGACCTCACCCCTAAAAACGCTCCCTCTTACCACGGGATACGAAATTCTACGCTATCAGGGTTCCACCCATGCCAGGTTAGGCCCCAAATACAAGAATGGGCCTGTTTCTGAGGTAGCCACGTTCCCAGCTTAACAGGAAGGCCCCGCCCCTCAGTGTTCGGCAACCTCTTCCATTTCAGATTTTTCCGGGGTTCTGGGTAAGCTGGCCTCACCGGATCTCGCCGCCTAGCCCGTAGTATGTAAAGGTGACCATTATTTTGCCGGATCACTGCTCCGGCTAGGGACAGACACCGCAGCTTAACCGCGGCGCCCGCTCCATCCTTGCCCCGCCTTCTCCTCCAAGCTCCGGTCAGCTTCCCCAGCCCACCCGGCCCGCCCCTCCCCTGCCCACCAGGCCCGCTCCGCTCCTCCCCTTTGCTCTCAACTCGGACTTTGCCTCTAACCCACGGCCTGGATCTACCCGCCCACCGCTTGGCCCCGCCCTCTAACCCTTAGTCCCGCCTCCTTACCAATAATCAAACCCGCGCTCCAGTCAGGCCCAGCCTATAGCTATAAGCACCGCCCTATGTACTGAGTCAACCAATGTGAGGCCCGGGCTTTCCCTCAGGCTCCGCCCACCATCCCCGCCCTCCGCTGCCTGTCTTCCTCGGGGCGTTGCCACTGCCGCGCCTCCGCGGCCCGCGCGGAGGCAGATGCCGCCCCCTCCGCCGGTCCCTCCCCCGGCGGCCTGGCGCCTCCCTCTCTCCCTCCCTGGCGCGGTGACTCACGGAGGCGGAGGCTGAGGCGGCCGCTCCCGCTGCTGCCGCTGCCGCTGCTGCTGCTGCTGCTGCTGCCCCCGCCGCCGCCGCCGCTGCGGCTGCTTCGGCTTGGCGCGTCCCGGAACAGGCCGTCGCGCGCCGCGCTCCGGACCCGCAGCCCCCGCCGGCCCGGCCGGGTCGGGCGGCCCAGGTAAGCGCGAGGCCGGTCGGCGCCCGCAGCGCAGGGCTTGCGCCGCGCCGGAGCCCGGGGAAGCCGCCGGCCCTTTGTCTCCCGGGGAGGGGCCGCGGAGGGCACCCCTGACCCCCCTCGGACCCTCCCGGCCCGGCCCCGATGGCATGGCGCCCTTGGCCTGGGCCAGGCCTCCGCGCCCCACCCGCGCCTCCGCGTCGCGCCGCAGACCCCCCTCGTGCCTTCCTCACCTCCCGCCCAGGGGTGGTCTCCACAGGTGTCCCAGCCACCCTCCCTGCTGCGGAGCCGGCGGCGCCCGCGAGGTTGTCAGCGCCTGTCCACCCGCGCGGTCCGAGGCTCCCCTGCCTTCCCTCACCTGAGCCCCGCTCCCAGCATCCCGACTCTCCATGGTTTCTCAGCGAAATGCTTCCAAGGTCTCTGCCACCCGCTGCCCTTCCAGGGTCCCTAGTTTGATTGATTCCACTTCTCCATGGTGAGAGTATCTGCTTGGTACACCTAGGAGGCGCGTGGCGCTCCTTCCTTGAGGACTTGTCAAATTAAACATTCGGAACCCCAAACTGCACTTCTCCCCACCTTTTCATCACACCCACACAAACTCTCTTCCAAAGCCAAGACCTGAGATCTAGACCCCCACCTTTGTGCGTGTGTGTGTGTGCGTGTGCGCCAGTACTGGGACTTGAACTCAGAGCCTGGGCACTTTTCCTTAGCTTTTCACTCAAGCCTGGCACTCAATCACTTTAGCCACAGTTCCTTGGTGGTTACTTGGAAATAAGAGTCTCATGGACTTTCCTGCCCAGGCTGGCATCTTCAATCCTCAGATCTCAGACTCCTGAGTATCCAGGACTGCAGGCATGAGCCATTGACGCCCAGCTGACACCCAACTTCTTTAGGTCCCACAGCTCTTCCTCTCCCCTGTGCCAAACTTGTCTGTGCAGTACCTCTGTGAGGCCCAGGGGGATGGTGTTGGCCACAAATCAAGAGTTTTATGAATAATGAGACATGTGGCTTACAGCACCTCCTATCTGAGAATCTAACTATGGCCTAGCTGTTAATTATTTTGCCTTCTGTCTCTCACAGATCTTAAGGAAGTGTGCCTGATCTGCCACTAGGTAAATTGAGGCACTGGCTATGTGGGTAAGGGACCTGGAGGCAAGTCAGAGTTTCTCTTTGGGTTTTGTTCCAAGGCTCTTAACTCCCTGCTACAACCCCTGGCTCTTGTTCCTGGCTCTGGAGGCTAAGTGATAACTGATCTCTTGTGCCATTAAAGTGCCAACGCTTCCTCAGATTTAAAACAGGACTTTGAATCATAAATAAAAGTGCTGGCTGTTAAGTGCCAGTGTGTCATTCGTGGCTTCCTGGTGGAGTTAGTGGTCCTTGTAGACACAGTCACTTCTGCTGGATGGAGATTTCATTCATCTAGTACTGAGTGCTTTCCATGTACCCAGACATTCCATGCTCCAGGGCTTCAGAGGTGAAGGCAAATCTCTGCACTCCTGGAGATGGCATTCTAAGGAGGAAGGAGGATGGGTGATAAAAGAATGAATGAGCTGATAAGTAGACAGAATGATCTCATTAGTGATAGATGCCTGATAGGAAGGTGGTGGTTAAGGGCCAGAATGTTAAGCATCTGTGTGTTAAAACAACAAAAAAAAGATTTTGTAGGCTATTTAGATTTTATCCTAAGTACAGTTAAGAATGCACTGGAGTATTTTGAGCAGAGAGCTATAAAAGCTGTTGTGTGTGTGTGTGTTTGTGTTTGTCAGTCATAGGGCTTGAACTCTGGGCCTGAGCGCTGTTTTGTTTTGTTTTGGGTCCGGTCGTGGGGCCTGAACTCAGGGCCTGGGCGCTGTCCCTCAGCTCTTCAGCTCAAGGCTAGCGCTCTACCACTTGAGTGACAACGCCACTTCTGGCTTTTTTTCTTTTTGCTTATGTGGGGCTGAGGAATCAAACCCAGGGCCTCGAGCATGCAAGGTAAGCGCTCTACCACTGAGCCACCTTCCGAGCCCCTCTGTTTTCTTTTATTAATTTATTTTTGTTGGTATTGAGGTTTGAATAACTCAGGATTTAACACTTTATACTCAGGTGCTCTCCCATTTGAACCAGGTCCCTAGTCCTTTCCTCTTTTCCTTTTTCTTTTCTTTTCTTTTTCTTTCTTTCTTTTTTTTTTCTGGTTGTGGGGCTTGAACTCTGGGACTGAGCGCTGTCCCTCAGCTCTTCAGCTCAAGGCTAGTGCTCTACCACTTGAGCTACAAGCCACTTACGGTTTTCTGGTGGTTTAATGGAGATAAGAGTTTCAGGGACTTTCCTGCCGGGGCTGGCTTTGAACTGGGATTCTCAGATCTCAGCCTGCTGAATAGCTAGGATTATAGGCGTGAGCCACGGGCGCTGGGCTTCTTTTCCTTTTTCTTTTCTCCCTTACCTTCTTCTCCGCCTCTTCTTCCTCCTCCTCCTCCTCTTTCTCTTCTTCCTCTTCCTCCTCCTCCTCCTCCTCTTTTCTTCCTCCTTTTCCTCCTTCTTTTGAGACAGCCTTTCTATGTACCCCAGATTGGCTTTGAACTTGTGATCCTTCTTCCTGAGCCTCTAGGAGTTTTGGCATTATACATGTACTACCACCACATCCAGCCTAACCTCATTTTTACAAAGCAGTTTGTTTTTTTTTTTTTTGGTCTGGCCATGGGGCCTGAACTCTGGGCCTGGGCGCTGTCCCTCAGCTCTTCAGCTCAAGGCTAGCGCTCTACCACTTGAGCCACAGCGCCACTTCTGGCTTTTTTTTTCTGTTTATGTGGTGCTGAGGAATCAAACCCAGGGCCTCATGCATGCAAGGCAAGTGCTCTACCACTGAGCCACCTTCCCAGCCCTACAAAGTAGTTTTGATTGCTGTGTGGAGGCAGGATTGTGAGGAGCAAAGGTAGAGTCAGGGATGCCAGTTGACTGACTGTTTTAGCTGCCCAGCAAGAGATGATGGTGGCCTGTGGTGGTATAAGAGAGGAAATAGAGCCAATCTGTCTTCCCTAGGAGACCCTGGGAGTCGGAAAACAAAACTTTGGGGAACACAGGTTGAGTTTGTTGTCTAATAGAAAAGCTCTAGACCTGCCTGTATTTTAGTTTAGTTCAGCAAACCTTGTTCTGAATCTGTTATGAATTAGGTACTATGTTAGATTCTGGAAATGGGACAAAAGTAGGTGGATTTCATGGTTTCACTTGGAGTAGTCTCTATGTTAAAACAATATGCTCATAGAAACAGTCATTTTCCCTTTGATAGAAGAGACAGTGTGAGACAGATGCCGGTGGCTCCCTCCTGTAATTCTAGCTACTCAGGAGGCTGAGATCAGAGGATCACAGTTTGAAGTCAGCCGAAGCAGGAAAGTCTGTGAGAGTGTTATCTCCAATTAACCACCAGAAAAACCAGAAGTAAAGCTGTGGCTCAAAGTGGTAGAATGTTAGCCTTGAGCAAAAGAGCTCAGGGACAGTGTCCAGGCCCTAAGTTCAGGCCCTATGACCAACAAGCTAAAAAAAAAAAAAAAAAAAAGAGGGCATGTAGGTTTAAAACCCAATTATGGAGAACACACTGGGCTTCTCCCCTGCATCCAGCTGTATTACTTAAATGAGAGCATTATTGTTCTGCCTGTCTTCTAAGATATTTCACAAAGGAATTGGAGGGGCTGAGGGTGTAGCTCACTAGCAGAGCTTAGCAAGTGAGAGACCCAGGGTTCAGTCTTCAGTACACCAAAAAAGGAACTGAGACTGTATTTATTATAAGTGGGAGAATTGAGTGGCCATGAGCTTGAGCTGTTAATTTGCATTAAACTTGATCTCCGTGTGCTCCAAATCTATGCTGTCAGAATGAAAGGACCTTGCAGGTTACATAGTCCAGACTCTTGTGGTTGGGCGGTGGTGGCCCCTAGAGGCCTCTTTGGCGTAGAAGTTTCTACCTTTTCCTGTGGTGTTGGTACTTTCCACCTCTTCCAACTGCATATGTATGTGCTCAATTCTAATGTCTGAGGCCAGATCTTCCTTGGATTTAAGAGTCTAGATGCATGCCTTGTACAAAGTGTAAGCCAATCAAATAATAGTTGACTGTCTTGAATGTCTTATGGTACCTAGAACTAGAACTCAGGAATCCTGACCCTAAGCCTGTCTTTTCATTGGACTGTTCTAACTTGCTGACACCTCTCTAGGTGCAGTGTATGATGCAGTTGGGAGCCCAGCAGTGCGTGGCTTGCATGCTCACAGGAGAGGGAAGCCCTTCGTTGATGGGGCTGCCCTCCTCCAGCCCTGCCCCCAGGGAACAGCTGCTGAGGGTGCTGAGCAAGTTGTTATTCGACACTTAGCAAATATGAAGTGTAGCTCTTAATTAGAGCATGGACTTTGTGCCAAGACTATCTGGGTTTGGATCTTGGTTCTGCCATCATGGGCAGTGTAATCTTCAGCAAGTAATTTAGCCTTTCTATGCCGGAGTTTCCCCATGTGTAAAATGATAATACTTCCCTCAGAGTGTTGTTGGGAGGATTAAATTAAGTAATACCCATTAGATGCTCAGAAGAGCACGTAGCACTGTGTATGTGTATGTGAGTAGTTGGCCTATTTTTATTAATGTTATAATAATGTGTTATTATTGATCTGTTTTTACCTTCAATCAAAATTGAAGTCCTTAGAGAATAGTTTTGTCTTTTTTCCCCCTGATTTTCTAGTTCACTACCTAAGCTTAGTAGGCACTCAGTAAATAATTAAATTGATTCATCTACTTACTTAGTACCTATCAGGTACCAGCCACTGTTGGAGGTCTTGAGGATACAGCCAAGAATAAGATTCATGGTCTAAAGATTTATCTTGTGTGTGTATGGGGGGCGGGGTTTACAGGGCTACACCCCAGCTCCAATCTTCTAATACTGGTATAGTGACTCTTCAGCAACCTGGGAGTTTTGGTGCTGTTCATATGTGCATCAGGGGCATGCTTATACATATATGTTGGGGTTTCTAACATATTAAGATTGAGTAAG